GGGGGCCGTCCCGGGCGGGGGTGGAGGCGGAGATGCCGCCGCCGCAGCCGCCGCGGTGGCTGCCGCTGCCGTAGCTGTCGCCGGCGCCACTGCCTCCTCCTCCGGCCGAGACGCGGAGCGAGCAAGCGAAAGCGGCGGCGAGGAGCCCGGCGCACACCACAGCTGGATCCCTCACTCCAACTTCAAGCCTCAGCCCCGCCTCTCCCCTGCCAGCCTCGCAGCCAATCGCTACGCGCCTTCAGCCCCGAGCGGCGCGCCCATTGGCTGGCCGCCGTGGCAGTGCGGGCGGGGGCTCCCGGGGAGAGAACCACAGCTGGAATCCGGTTCCCACCCCAAAGCCCAGGACCGCCCCTCTCCCTTCCCCTTGCTCCTGGGTCCGTTCCCGAAGGCCGGAGCCAATTAGACGGCTACCCAGACCGAACCCACTTTCCTATTGGCTACTGGGGTCTCTGGGACTCCCCTGAAGGAAGCCCCGAGGAATCAGAGTATTCCGCGCTGGGTCCTGGGATAGCGCTGCTGGCCCCCGGGCATCCTTTGTCCAAGACCCTTGAATTGGACCACAGCCGGAGGGCGGGGCTCAGCTCTGGGCGGGCCTGGAAAAGGGAGGACGGCGGCTGGAAATGTGGGGAGTGACCAGGGTCCCAGAACGAAATCCTGGGTATCCACTTGATGAATCGCCCACCCCACCGTTAAGCTTGGGAGCGGGACTGAGGAAGGAGAGGAGCGGAGCAGGATGTCTCAGGGGTAGTGCTTCAAGTTGGAGGGAGCTAGTCTTCGGGAAACAGGCGGAGCCAAGGAAAGACAGGAGTGGGTAAGGTCTGGGCGTGGCCTCCACCAACCTCTTGGGCTTGTTGATCCAGCTCCTTGTCCATTCCTGCGACTTTGACCCTGACCCCCTAACCTCAACCCGCTGACCCTGACCTCACGTTGAACACTCCTGAGCTTCATCCCCTAGGCCCCTAGGGATCCTATGGAGGGTGTGCATTCCACGCGGGGACTTAGCGCTGGAACACGTGGCCCCAGGCAGGTCACGCCGGACCCTGAGCCCGGATCCCCAAGAGCAGCTGTGGAGCAGAGATAGGCTCCTGCGAAGGGACCTCGGGGGCCCTCAAGTCTGTAGGAGGCAGTGGAAGCCCAAAGTTGGGCTTTCCCGACTCTTAACCTGCAAAGTTCCACCAATCCCCCACTCCGCGCCTCAGTTTCTCCCTCTCGAGTTCCAATATGGCTTATGGAGAGGCTGTCCGCAGGAGTTTCGCGGTGCTGCTCTCCTCGCACACCTCCAACCTACCAGGAGCGGGTCCTAGAGGGTCTGCGGCTTCCCACGCGCGCACACGCACGTCCAGACCCTGGCTCTCGCTCTGCCTCACCTTCCCGAGTCCCCGGGCTCAGTCAGCTCCTGCTCCGGTTCGCCGCCGGCGCCACCTCAAAAGGCTGTGGGCACCCAGGAGTGGAGCGCCGCGGGAGTGCTGGGCGCTGGGGTGCAGTGGGGCGGAGAGGGCATCGAGGATTAGACGTCGGGAAGCACTTCCCCACCTCTGCGAAAGGTAGACGCGGCGGAACCAAGCAAGTCAGCCTCTCCCAAGCCTTTGGGGCGCATACGCCACTGCGGAGAGGCATATGGATGGACCAGATGACCTCCCGCGCCCGTCCCCCCTCCTCCGACTCCCCGGAGTTCTGCGCTCCCCCAAGGCTGCGCCACCCACGCAACCCCTAGCGCGCCTCCACGGCAGGCGGGTTTTCGAGAGTGCGGTGGGAAGGACATAGCGGCTGCTGCGCCGTCGCCTCCCAGGTTGCCCTTTCGCCGAATCCGGGCACCGAGTTGTGCAAATGAGGCTGGGTTCATTTGCATTTCATGCTAATGAGCAGATCCCTTAAGTGCCTTTCTCTCCTGGCGGGAGACTCTGCTCTCATTCCGCGTGTGCCCAGCCAGAGTCTTGAACTCGCTGCGGTCTTCTGGGAGAGGGACCTATTTATATGGTTGGCTCCACTGTCTGACACCTTCTTCCCTCCCGCCGGTCCTCAGTCTGCCAGGTCGGCCTGCCTTTCCTGACAGGGTCAAGAGGCCCTAGGAAAAGTAGTGACTGCTATCATCTCCTTTTTGCAAATGGGAAAATGAGGCCAGAGAGGCTTGCCCAGCCCAATGGTCAGGTTTCCTGGTGTTCAGCAGGCCCTACACCTTCATCTATCATCCAGGCCACCCCCGTCTGTGGTCTAAACTCTGTTCTAGAACATACACATAAAAGGGGGGCAGACGCACACACCATCTTGACAAATGGAGACCCACATTTACTTCCCTGGGCTAGGGTTCTAGTGTGACCTGCCACCTAAGGCATCCTGGTCTTTGTGCCGGGCATCAGGGGACTGTGACATCCCCATCAGATAATGCTCACTATTAGCCTGAGTGGGGGAATGGACAGGAGAAGCAGAACCCACAGATAAGGCAAAGGAAGCCCTGAAACCATCTTTTAACTCCCACCTCCAAGCCTCAGCTCTGACATCACCTCCTCAGAGTGGCCTTCTTTCAGCAAGTATTGCAGTGCTTAAGTGCCAACGTGCTGAGGACACAGTTCTGAGCCAGACAAGAGTCTGGAACCTCATAGCACTTTGCCCAGGCTGGAATTATACGTATACGTTTGTAGTAGTAAAATGATTGTCTCCCCCTCTAGGCTCTATGTTTCCTGAGGGCAGGGGCTATGTCCATTTTGCTTACCAGGGCCTAATGCAGTGTTTTGCACCTAGTAGGTACTTAATAGATCTGTTAGATGAATCAATAACCTCAGGCAGGGAGGGGGAATGAGGAACAAAAAAAAAAATCCCTTCCTTTGGGCCTCAGTTCCCCAACAAAGAAGTTAGGCCTAAGTGTTGTCTAAGACCTGTGTTTGAGGGAGTGCCCCCCTAGGTCCTACTCCACCAGCCCCTCCAGCCCTCTCCCCTCTCCACTTCCCTCACAGCCTGGCTGGCTTCCTCAGGAACCAAGATAATGTTCCCATCTGTGATGCTCTCTGCTAAGCGATGATACATTGTCCTATTTAGTCAACTCACAGCCTTGGGAGTTGGGTGGTGGTGGTTGTCCCATTTTTTAGATAAGGAAACCGAGGCTCAGAGAGATGAAATTACTTAAGTGACTGCCCCAAACCATGAGGCCCTATCTCCAATGACCCTGGCCCACAGCTTCTCCAGGACAGTCCTGCCGGCAGAGCAAGAAGCACACATGGCCAAGGGGGCTCCACCTGGGGAAGAGAGGCGGCAGACTTAAAATCCCACATCTGAGCAAGAATTCTGTTCAGCCTTGACCTCTTTAGAAAATGCAAGCACTCCCCGGAGAACTAACCCTTTAAGGCCCTAACTCCTTCCTCCGAATCCATGTATAAAATCCCCGTGTCAGGTACATGCCTGGTACCAGCAGAAGGGAAGGAGGAGCAGAAGGAAGACTGGAAGGAGGGGCAGAAGATACCAAATACACCCTCCCTCACAGCAGTACCCGCACCTCCTGGGGGTAGAGGAAGCCGGAGTGGTCTTTATTGTACCCTTAAGGCCCCAGAAAGAACCAGATGTGTTGGGTGGCCTCAGGCCAGTCTCTTACCCTCTGGGCTTTGGATATCTTTATTCATATGAGGCCGAAGGTATCTGCCTTGCCGCCTCATTCATCAGGGTCAGTGGGACTAGAGAGACAAGGGAACTTAGCAAACTGCCTAGACCTTCCCAAAGCCAAGGCTGGGGCTGCCAAAAAAGCCACCTGCTCTTCACCACCCTCCACCCTCCCTCCTCACTGCCCCCAGACCAGGCTCCACGTGCCCAGCCCTCAGATTTCCTGGCAAGGATGAGCAGGCTCCAGCCAGAAAGAGGACAGCTGACCTTGTTGGCCAGAGCTCTAATCCCCTCCAGATGGGCCGGTGGCTTGCACCAAGGGCTACCCAAATAAACCCCAGTCCCAGTGACCATGTGTGGCTGTGTGTAACCATGTCCAGGGGGTGGCCAAGGTCCTCAGTGGACCTTGGAGTGACTCAGTCCAGTCTCCCAGCTCTTTCCTGCACTCCTCCTCCCCATTGCTGACATCCCCACAAGCAGTGGCCCCATTTGGATCTTGCGTCCAGCAGCCTCTTCTGGCTATCTGTACTGCCTGGCTCTGGGGCTATGAAGGTGCCCAGGCTCAGCAGAGGCCCTGAAGGTCTGGGGTAGGGGGGCAGCTCCATCCCCTCCTTCCTGCCTGTCAGCCCTACATCTGCCCTTCCCAAAACACACCTCCTAGTCCCCTCTCCACAGTGGAAGCTAAATGGTGTCTCTGGGGCCTTTGAAGAGGTGGGTGCCAAGAACAGGACTTGTGTGCATCTCCTAACATTGAAGGGATAGGAGGAGGTCACAGGAAGGCACTTGCTTTCCCTGCAGCAGGAAGAACTCAGATTTGGAGAAGGACTTCCAACCCAACAGATGTTCCAAACGAAAGAGAACTCTTTCCCTGGCCTGGCTTGTGTAAAAGCAGGGGGGATGAACAATATGACCTCCCGTGGGGAGGGTTTGGCTCCATCCTAGTGAGGCCGGGGGCTGGATGGATACCCCAAAATAAATGTCCTTGGTACTGATAACAGCAGCTCCCACAATGTACCTGAGCATATGCAAATGTTGCCATTTCATGAAAAATAAAAATTCATATAAAACATCCTCTTGCCCCTTCCCCAGCTTTAAAAACAGGAGACAATGGAAATGGGAGGGCAGGCCCCTTGTTTAACCCTGCCTCAGGGCAAGGTTGGCCTTTCCCTCTCCTGGGCAAGTCCACACCCCCATCCCCACCCCTGGCAGTAATTACTGGTTGCCTGACCTCAGTTTCACTCAGGCTGCAATGGCTGGGGACAGGTTCAGCCTGGTGAAATCTGAAGGTGAAGAAGGAAGACGAGAAGGCAGAGGGGTCAGCAAGGGGCTCCCAGAGGAAGAAGCCCTGGGATGCTGGTTCCCAGGCTAGAGCCCAAGGCCCCTCTCTCACACGCAAGGTTGAGGCCCGGAGGTTACCACGGGACGCTGTTAGGTTTATTCCAGGATGAGTGAGTGCCCATGGCAGGGGCGCAGCGAGGATGGCCAAGGTCACCTGGTGACAGGGTACCCAGGGATGGCTGCAGGCCCTGCAGGGTTCTGCAGGGCCCAGTCCCTAGTCAGTTGGGGAGCTCTGCCTCCTGCCCCAGCCCCAGATGGAGGAGGGTGAGGTGATCACTGATGCAATAGTTTTCGCAGTTCACTAGGCTCGGTGACAGGCATGGAGCAGGCTTGATTCGCACACACGTAGGCGGTGGCGCGGTCTTCTAGCCGTCGCAAGGTATTCAGAAAGGGCAGCTGGCGGGACAGGAAGCTTGAGGGATCCCCATCGGCCAAAATCAGCACCTGGGGTAGCGGCAGAGGAAAGAGGGTCCCTTGGGGCTGCTGGGACTGGCAAGCCTCACTGGAGGGTGTTTTCTCCCCAGGCCTTCAGGGAGGGAGATATTGGGTAGTAGAGGAGGGAAGGGTGGGGCTGGGCTCACAGATGCAAACCTTGTTAGGGATGTACATGGAGTGAACACACTGCACCAGAGCCTTGGTGTCCTTAGCCTGGGGGTCTCCACAGATGACGATCTGGCCACAACAGAAAGGTAACTCCAGTGTCAGGTGCATGAGGCTGGACCCAGACCTACCAGGGCTTCCCTAGCCTCACTCCACCCCCACTATATCCCTAAGAAAGAATGGTACTCAGCTGAGCATCCCCCAGACCAGCTGCCAGGAGGCTGCCTCAGATTCACTGCTCAGCAAGTGGGAATACGTACACACACACACACACACACATGCGCAGAGATATACAGGCAAATATAAGCAGGCAAACCTTAACACAGGGTATATACACGCAGGCAGGCAAACACACACTGGAAAACACACTCAGAAAGGCAGACACACAGTCACACTCCTCCAGATGTGCACACACAGCAATAACACACATAGGGACACACATGCAGATAAGCATATACCTGCACACACACCGGCAGTCTCAACCACACGAATACACAGAGACATACAGAGAAACACTTCACCAACCACAGGGACCCACCACCCATAGGGACCCCTGCCTCCTGCCTCCTACTCTGAAAGCCCCAGTCACAGACACACAGAGGCTTCTGCCTGTGCCACAGGCTTGTCTCAGACACACACTCACAGACAGACTCCTCCACCTGCACAGAGCAGCCCTTACAGATGTCCTGAGGAGACATCTGCACTCACCCTCCAAGATGGCCACACATTCACAGACCTGAGCTCTGGAAGACAGCCCCAGGAGCCCCACCCCATGTCCCCACACTCACCCCACTGTGGCCCCAGCTCCCCCACCCACCCAGGGTCCCAGCCCAATTGCCCTGAAGCCCCCCACACACACACACCTGCTTGAGGGTCTGCTGGTGGGCTGAGAGGGCTCGGACCATCTCAGGCAACGCCACGGGCACACGGCGCATGCGCTCAGAGAAGGCGGTCAGCAGGCACACACACTTGTCTATCCAGTCCTTGTGACCCGTGAAGCCGTGCAGCCGAAGCAGGTTGTGGGCCGACACGGAGTTGGCACTAGGCTCTGCGCCATCCTGGTCTGCAGGGCGCAGCGGGGTGGGAGTCATGAGCGAGGCTTGCTGGGTCCCAGGACCCTGCCCCAGGACTGTGGCCAGGGAGGCTGAGATGGAGAAGAGACCCTGCCCACCCACCACCCTGGCCCAGATCTGAGTGGAATGCCAGCACCGGCAGTTATAGATCCTTCGCTCTCACACGTACATGCCATCCGCCCTTGTCCCTGGCTGAACTATTGGTCCCTCAGCTTCCCCATCTCAGTCCCCCGTCCTCCTGCCCTTCCCTCCCTCTCTCTCACCTCCCACTTCTAATGCCTCCATGAGACTGCCAGGTCTGCAGCCAGAACAGACCCAAATCCTTTCACTTCTCCCTTGCCTGGGCCTTCACCAGCTCTTGCCTGGACTGACTGCCATTAACAGCCTCCTAACTGGTCTCCCTGTTTCCCCTGCCCCCATCCCTTCTCCACCATCAGTCACAGTGACATTCTTAGATCTAACCAAAGGAGGTCACAATCTACTTAAAACCCTTCACAGCCTTCCACTCCTTTTCATGCCTACAAGACCCTGCAGGGAGCCAGCTCCTACTCATACACTGGCCTCTGCCCCCTACCCCCATCCTCCGTAGCATAGGCTGTCCCCTGCCCCAGGTCTCTCACAGGTTGTTCTCTCTGCCTGAAATCCCTCCCCAGCTCCTCCATGACCACACGGTCCCATCTTGCCCTCTGACCCTTGGTTAAATGACACCTGTCACTGGTTTATTCTGACCTCCCTTCAGCTGAGTTGGACCCCACTATTGTTCCCTCTCAGTGCCTTTCATTCATTCAGCTAATGTTTATTGAGCACCTACTATGTACCAGGCCTGTGCTAGACCCTGGGAATACAGCAGTGACAAAGTCCTGCTCTCAAGATGCTTACATTTGGTGGGGGTGACCGTTACCAGACCAGACACATCAGGTGGTGATAAGCACTACTGAGAAAAGTTAGGGGACAGGGTGCAAAACGGGGCCTCCTACTTCTCCATGGCGCTCACCATTGTAACTGTGCATCTGTGCATGCACTTTTGCATTAAGTATTACTATTTATTAGTTGTCTCCCCTACTACATTGTAAGCTTCATGAGGGGAAGGACTAGATTGGCCTTGTTCAGTACATGAATCCAGGGGTGCCAGTTACTGTGCTAAGCGTGTTCACAGAATAGTTAAATTAATCTTTATGTCAATCCTGTAAGGTAGTACCAATGTTAGCTCCATTTCACATATTAGGAAACTGAGGCTCTGAAACATAACAAGACCAAAGTCACTTAGTTAATAATAAGTGTTGGAGATGTGAACCCAGGAGGGCCTGGACCCTGCCCATGCCAACTTTTCACCACCACACTGAGCTTACACCTCCCCCAGGGAAAACTGAGTCCCAGTTGGGTCCTGGAAGCCAGCTCTGCACCCCCGACTGACCGTCCTTCAGACGCAGGGGCAGGCCAGCCCCCAGCTCAGCCTCACTGCAGAAGTAGCCGCCGCCCCGAGAGTCCCAGAAGAGCCTGTCCTGTGTGTCCTGAAGCCGCAGAGCCCACTCGAGCCACGCACTCTCCAGCGAGGCCTCATACAGGTCCAGCAGGGCCCTCACTACGAAGGCGTAGTCCTCCAGGAAGCCCCAGCAGGGTGGGTTGCTGGGGGGACAGGCATCAGGGGAGGGGAGAGAGAGGCTTTCACAGAGGAGGCCAGGCCCCTCTCCCATATTCTTTCATTTAACCTTCAAAATCTACCTCTCTGGTGGGTACCATGAGCCTATCTCCTGGTGAGCAAGTGGGCCCAGGGAGGTCAAGAGTTCACAGTGGGCAGATGGTAGAACCAGGATTGGAGTCTACCGGGAGGGGAGGAGATGGGCAGAGATAGGCCTGGAGTTGCCCTGGGAGACAAGCTTTCCCTGGCTGCACAGCTCCCCACCTGTGCTCCACGGTGCCCCCAGAGCCTGCGTAGCAGGTCCGCATCAGGCGGCCAGTGGCCACGTCAAACATGTGCCGCTTCAGGAACTTGGCACCATTGGTGGCGTAGTTGATCAGCCTCTCCGTACCTAGGACAGCCCCAGTTATGGCGTAGCCAGATACCATCAGTCCTGGAGGGAGGAGACACCAGTAGCTGTGAGAAGCTGGCCAGGGCCTTCCAGGTGTTTCCCCCCTAACCCCCCTCCCCCCAAGCCCCAGTGCCTCTCTGGAGCAATGCAGTGAGCAGTAGGACCTGCTCCAGCACCAGGCAGGGCTGGGCTCCTGGCATAACCTTGGGCAAGTTACTTAAATTCTCTTAGCTTCTGTTCACTCATTTGCAAATTGAGATAATAAACCTGACAAAGGAAGGACTAATATTCAGCAAGTGTCTGAATATTACACAGAAGGGGACTTGCGAAGGGTAGCTCTATAAATGGGATTGGGCCTCAGACACAGCTGCCCCACCGTTCCAGGCAGCCAGCATCTTGTTGTCCAGGTGCGGCTTCGGCCGATGTTTCCGGGCCTGGAAGAGCTTCTCCAGCCCTGTATTGAGCAAGGTACGTACAACCTCCACTTCCAGGCCAAAGCGGGCAGCGGTCAGCTCCAGCGAATACCGGACAGTCAGCACATTCTGACCCTGCAGCTCCCCCTTGGGGTCCTGAGGAAAACAGCCCTTGTCCAAGAGTCCACTCTCAGCCAGTCCGGCTTCAGGACCCCTCCCGCATCCCTGGAGTCCTCACCTGACTGGGGCTGATGTTGCCGGCCTCCGTGAGCCCATAGTGCTTCATGAGGAGCTGGCCTGAGGTCAGCGGCTCGCTGGCGCCCAGCACAGGCTCTGAGAGCAGCTGCTGGACCTCTTTGACTGTCCACACGTAGAAGGCGCCCTCTTTGGGCCGCATGCCCCGTTCCGGGGGCGAGTCCGCGTCCTCTGCGCTGTAGAAGCCTCCAGACTGTGGGGAGGGAAAAGCTGGCTGGCCCCAACCTTCTGAGCAGTGGAGGCTCCAAGCCCTCCCACAGCCAGGCCCTCCCGCCTCAGCGGACACACACCCGGTGACTCAGGTGCCGAGCTACATATTGCAGGATGCCTTTGGCAACGTCCGAATAGAACTCATCACCAGTGATCTGACGGGAAAGAAGGAGGTCCTGTCAACAGAGGTCCATGGGGCAGCCGAGGTACCGGGGGCAGTTAACATTTCCCCAGCAGGGTTGGGAGGGGGGCACGGGTACCGGGCATATGAGAAGGAGTTAGGGGTGACGTCAAGAGGGAGCCACCAGGAAGGTCCTGGGAGGGGCAGCCATGGGTAGAAAGACAGGCTGGGATTAGGGGATCACCTGGTAAGCCTGTGAATAAGCCACCACGAGCTGCCCCTGGTCATACAGCATCTTCTCAAAGTGGGGGACGTGCCACTGGCGGTCCGTGGAGTAGCGGTGGAAGCCCTGCGCCATGTGGGACATGGGGCTGGAAGCTGATCCCAGCCTCTGCCCCCACCCCACCCCCTCCTGCTGCTGTCCCCTCCAGGGAGTGCCTAGGCCCCGTCACCTGCCCCACGTGGTCTCGGATGCCCCCATTGGCCATCATTTTCAGGGTGTGCAAGGCCATCTGCTGGGCCCGAGAGCCATCTTGGGTGAGTCGATGGCTGAGCCAGTAGGAGAACAGGAAGTTCAGGATCACTGTGGGCACCAAGGGCACACGGGTGAGAGAATGGGTGGCAGGGAGGACAAGGGCTACAGATCTGGGTGGTCAGCAGGCCTCTAGCCAGGCTGGGGTTAGGAATTCACTCAACAGACAGTCCAAGACTCTGTCAGGCTTGGGGTCCGGAGGTCTGCTGTCAACCCAGAGGACAGAAGGTCAATACCAGGCCAGTGTCAGGGTCACTGCTAAGATCAGAAGTCAGGTTTTCACTAGATAGCGACTGACAGGTTGGGGGCAAGGAGAGCAGGAAGTGAATGACCAAACCAGGGGTCAGAACATCATTGACCAGGACAGGCATCAGAAGGCCAGGCTGGGGTGGGCACAGACCTGGTGTGGGGAACTTGGGGGCCTCGGCGAAGCCACCATACTCCTCATCATAGCCCTCATCCAGCTGTTGGAAGCAGCGGCTGTTCATGGTGGCAGCGGAGGGTGGCAGCTGGCGGTCACCCATGCTGATCTCCGATCGGGCCAGCAGGGCTGTGGTGACATGCTGGCTGTTTTCTAGCAAGGTGTTCTTATTCTGTTTCCACTGTATGAGGCAAGGGCAGGCCTGGAGGTTAGCATGGAGTGGGGGGGCCCCTTGTTCCCTCGCTCTTGACCCCTGCACCTCTCCCCGATGTACACCCACCTGCTCCCGTATTCTCAGCAACACTGTGCGGAAGCCAACTCGGGTCAAGCCATCCTCAGGGGGGAAATAGGTGCCCCCCACAAAGGGCTGCAGGTTGGGAGTCAGCCACACACTCATAGGCCAGCCCCCACCACTGCTGGTGGCCTGGTGGAAACAGGGCAAGGGTGAGGGGAGCGGCCCCCTGTGCATGGTCAACCCCCCCCTCCTCCATGGGAAGACCACTCACCTGCACAAAGGTCATATACACCTTGTCCACATCTGGCCTTTCCTCCCGGTCCACCTTCACACTAATGAAGTCCTCATTGAGCAGGCGGCCAATCTCCTCATTCTGGAAGGACTCCTCCTCCATCATGTGGCACCAGTGGCAGGTAGAGTACCCCACTGGAATGGGGCCATGGAGGGACCAGTGACTGGTCGGAGGGGTGCCAGCCAAGGGGACTGAAGAGGCCCTGGCCTCTGGTTTCCTGGGAGGTCCCCAGGCCCAGAAGATCCTTCACCTAGCCACAACTACTCCGCTCCCCCCATCCCAGGGAAGGTGGGTACATTACCTGAAAGGAAAATTGGCTTGTTTTCTTTCCTGGCCTTGTCGAAGGCTTCCTGTCCCCAGGGGTACCTAGGCCCAGCAGGGTGAGGCATCACTCACTAGCCTGGGTTGTAGGAGGTGCTGAGAGCCCAGCGGCCCCAGGAAGAGCATCAGGAGAGGTACTCACCAGTCCACAGGGTTGTAGGCATGCTGTTGGAGGTATGGTGACTTCTCATTGATCAAGCGATTGGGGACCTTCTGGGGTGTGGACTGGGAGCAGTTGCTGCGGCTTCCCTTCCCTCCAGCAGGCATGGACACTGAACTACTGACCGTCACACTCCGGTCCTTGTCCCGGGAGGAGCTACCCCTGGCATGGGCAAGTGGTTCAGGCCAGGGGTCTTCCCCCACCACCTCAGAGGCCCACTCCACGCCACCCTCCCTCTGGTACCCCTCCCGGAGCCCCTCGCGCCCAGCCGAACCCACCTTTCTGAACCACGGGGGAGACCGTGGGCTTTGTGCTCCCCCTTGTGTTTTGGGGGTGGTGAAGAAAAGTGGCTCATTGGGGGCTCCCTGCCACGTTAGTCTCCCCCAACCTCTTGGACCTGGCGGTGGGAAGGATGGTGACTGTGAGGTCAGAGTGAGTCACAGTGGGCAGAATGGTCGTTCAGGCTCCATTCTCTCCCCCTAACTGGGCCCCCTCCCCCGGGGTGGTGGCACTGGAGGTGTCACTCTGGCATGCCTGGGTGTATGATCTGAGCAGGAAGGCCACCCGCTGCTGGTGGCCGGTCAGGGCAACAAGAGTTGGGTCTGGACCTGACCAGGTGAGAGGCAATGAGAGGAAAGTTAACAGCGGGAACTTCCTCACTCAACATCAACCCACTGGGCGCTTCTGTGGGGCCAGGTTGTATGCCAGACCCCCAGGACCCTCAGGTTATCAAAAACTGACCCTGATCTCTGGGGGCTCAGCCTGGGAGGGTGGCGATGCGGGGCAGACCTAAACAATAACAGGCTCTGCAGCAATAAGGCCAGCCCAGGGTGCTGTTGGACAAGGACCTCTGGACCATCATTGGGGTTCAAGGAAGGCTTCCTGGAGGTGATGTCAGAACAGAGTCCCAGGGAGCTAGCTCTGCAGCCTGAGGGAAGGGGAGAAGAGGGGAGGAGGGCAGGAGGGCATTCCTGCCTGAGCTTGGTCGCAGGAGCGGACTGGAAGGGAAGGGCGGGGTCCGGTATGAGGGGGTGGCGGGGCAGGCTCTGAGGACCAGCGCCCGGAAGCCCGGCCCTGAGGCCCCGCCGGCGTAGGGCGCGCCGCAGTGGCCCACTCGCCTGCCAGTACCTGCGGCTCACGGAGAGGCCTCGCCCGGCGCGGGGCAGCAGGAGGGAGCAGCACAGCCAAGCCCGCGCGCCCAGCATGGCTGCTCCAGGCCACGGGACTTGGCGCCGCGGACTGGGAGGGAAGGCGGGAGGCCGCGAGGGGCCGACCCAACCGCGGGTGGGTCCTCGCGGAGACTTCGGGCCCGTGGCTGGTCTACGAGCGCCACCTGGTGTCGCAGCGCGGGATTGCAGACCGTACAACCTGAGCTTGGGAGGCCCCCAGTCTGTGCACAAAATTGGGCGGGCTCCGCTGGACCTAAACCAGCTGCCTGAGGGAGAATCACCCCCATGAGAACAAGGAGAAATGTGAAGATGCCAGGGCCATGGAATGCCAGAGCCTGGGCTCATACGGTCCAACTCCTACCCATTTTACAAATGGAAAATGAGGCCAGAGCAGAAGGTAGGGCTTGTCCAGTCCCAAGCAGCCAGTGAGCTTTGCCTATGCGCAGTCTCCCCATCTCAAGGTCCTGCTCAAATCCCACACATTCCAGGAAAACTTCCCTGACTAATAATGATGAGCCAACTTTATGTCCTATCACATACTTTACACACTTGTCTCATTTGCTACATTCTGCCAATATGTATTGAGTGCCCACTGCCTGCCAGACACTGCTAGGTACAACGGTGGCCAGACACTCTGCCAGGCTCCTGCCCTTGTGTTGTTCAATCTGGTGAGGGAGGTAGACGCTAATCCAACAGCCACACAAATGAATGTACAACCACGCACTGTGAGAAGTGGCATGACTAAGCATAACAAGGGCCACGGCCTGGTGGGAGAGGCAGCGGGGAAGGCTTCCCTGAGGAAATCACATTTGTGTAGCAGCCATCAAGAGGATGGAATCTGGAGGGGGGGGGGCGGGGCAAGTGGGTACTGGGGAAGCAGGAGGAACAGATGTGCAAAGGCCCTGTGGCATCACAGTGAGTCAGGGCTGAGGAACTGCAGAAGGCAGGCCTGGCTGCAGGACAAAGGGAAGGGAGTCAGTCAGTAGATTAGGTTGAGGTTGGGTGGGGAGGACAGGGCCAGGTCTTGGAGGGACTCATGAACTGTGAGAAGGAGTTCTGGCTATTGATGAGAGCAGAAGGAAACTCTTGAAGGGCTTTAGTCAGGGGAGTGACCCTGTATTTTGGAAAGCTTCCTCTGTCTTCCTGGTGGAGAATAAACTGGAAAGTGTCAAGAGAAGCAGCAGGAGTGGTTAGGAGGCCATAGCAGGACCAGGGGAGATGGTGGAGGTCTGCACCAGGTGGAGTTGGACAGAGAAGGGGATGGGCTTGAGGTCTGTAGAGGAGGAAACATCACCGTGATTGGCAGTGAGGAAGAAGATGTCAGGAGTGATTTGCAGAGTTGGACTTGTGCTGGATGGTGGGACCGTTTGCTGAGGAGGGCCACAGGGAGAGGCTTGGGTGGGGTTCATTTTTGGGTATGTTGGTTTGAGGTGTCCTTTAGATATATGTGTAAAAATGACAAGGCTATGGAATGCAGAGGAGGTTGATGGGAGAGAGAGGAATTGACGTGGAGACAGTGAGAGCATGGGAGAGATCATCCAGGAAGACTGCAGTGAGAAGCAAAAAGCAGGCTCAGGACTGGGCTCAGGGAACTCAGCAGTGCATGTGAAAGACACACAGAGGAAACAGCCAGAATGTCAAAGGAAAAGCAGAAAAGGGTGGTGCTCCAGAGGTAAAGGGACAGAGAGCTGCAAGGAAGGAGGGTACACATGGTCAGACTCCAGAGAAGGCAACTGGAATGGGACAAAGAAAGGTCCACTGGTTTTAGCAACATGGAGGCCATTGGTTGGCTTGGCAGATGGTGTTCCAGTGAGGTGAGGCTGTCAGCAGAGGCTAGTGGAGTGGGTTGAGGGTGGAGGGAAAAGAAAGGGGACATAGAGAGATAGGATGGACACTTGAAGTGAAGGGAAAGACACTTTCAAGATGAATGAGGCTAATTATTACATATCAAGAGGAAGGATTCAGTTGAGAGAAGGCGATTGATAATAGGGAGAAGAGATTTTTGAGAAGGTGGAGGTGGGATAGCAAAAGGATTTACAGGCCAGGCCGGAGGGTCTGGTGGGTGTTCCCTGGAAGAAATGAGGGTGAGATCAGATAACAGGAAGGCTATGTTGAATGTGGAGGAATTTGGGGTTATGATAACCCCCAAAGTGTGACAATGGGTGAAGGGTAGCTGATAGGTCAGGGGGCAGAAAGGTCATCCTCTTGGACAATGGAGTCACCTGGGATTGAGCAAGATCTGGGTGAGAAGAAAACTGAGCCAAGACTGAAGCATGGCAAGAATGAGGTGGAACACAGCCCTACGCAGGGAGGAGGCAGGACAGCCCAGTGGCTCCAGCGTCTGAGGAGGAGAAGTCTTATAGGAGGAAGGCGGTCTGGAAGCAGCTATGGGGAGCAAGGCTACCAACCTCTTCTTTATGGGAATCAAAACAGCACCCCTTGGGAGAGAGGGTCAGGGAAGCAGTGTCCGCACAGAGAGCCAGGTTAGAAGAAGAGGGCTCAAGTAGGGGAGGGGTGAAGGGTGGGTCAGCAACCAAGGATGGAAACTCCCTTGTTTATGCAGCAGAAGACAGATAAGGACTGGACTCTGGGCAGTGCCTGGCAAGCCAGGAATAAGGGGGTATGGTAGGCTCATTCCTCATGGTTAGTCTCTGAAGAGGGTGGACCCAGGGCCAAATGGACAGTGTGGTCTGGGAGGCGCCACATAGCAACCTTATAAGGAAGGAACTCTTATTCCCATTTGACAAGGAAACAGAGGCAGAGTCATAGAGAGGTTAAGTAATTTACTCAAGGTCAGGGAGCATAACCACTTATTACCAAGTGATTATTAAGTGCAAACCTTGGAGCAGAGTTTTGAACTATGTCGGTCTGACTTCTTAGTAGGTGCTCTTGTGCATCCTGCCTTTAAGAGCCAAGGTGGGACTCCCTCCCTCCAAAACAGCAAAGCAGCTTCTTTTCCCACCCCAGTCCCCTTAGCAAGGAGAGCAGCATTGTGTGTGTGTCCTCCACCCCCAACTTTGGTGTTTCCGGCCTATGCAAGGCCATGTCCCCCCAGAGCTCCAAAAGGGGATGGCGCTGGCAGCAGGCTGCCTGCAGGACCAGACCCTGAGCACTGAGGACACATCAGTGTCCAGTGGTTGGAGAGCACTGAGTAGAAAAGGAGGGAGGGTGACCCTGGTGGGCCCCAGGATGAGGTACCAGGCACTGCCCTTCCCCTTGGTTTCCCAGACCCCACATAAACTCCCAGGAGGGGTCAGGTTCCCTCTGCATGACTGAGGTTGAGTTTATTGCCAACCCTGGGGAAGGAGGGGAGAGTAAAGCCAGATTTAAGGTGACTTAAAACAAAGAAGCATGGAGGCTCCTGTTCCTGGCTTGCCTGCCCCACTGAGGCTGTAGGTTTAGCAACTCTTGGTTCCCTCCCAGGTGAGTCCAGCACTTTGTTCACCGCAGTCAGTCAGTATTTGCGAATTAAATTTGCTGCACAGCCTGATGGCGCAAAGCTGTGAAGCCAGACTGTCTGACTCTGAATCCTAGCCCCACTCTGTGCTATAGTTTTGTGACTTTGAGCATGCCATGTAACCTCTCTGAGCCTCAGTTTTCTCACCTATAAAATGGGAACAGGGCCAAGGGCTTTGCAGTTGGTTTAGTGCTCTGCTGCCCCTATTTTGAAATTCTTAACCCAATTTTGAACAAGGGGCCCCACATTTTCATTTTGCACTGGGCCTCACAAATTAGCCAGTATTGAATGGGAGTAATATTATCTACCTCAGAGGGTTGTTGCAAGGGTTAAATGAAATAATCTGTCTAAAGTGCTTAGCACATAATGAATGTGCAATAAATGGGAACAACTGCCTATTGTTCCTTGCTATTAGATCATCCCCAGCGCCTATGTGTGATAAATGAATGAAATGATTGAATGAGTGAGAGCCTGGAGAGCATATGGAAGCGAAGGTGCCAGGCTGAGGTTGTGCGGGAAGTGGGACCATTTTTGTGCCCCACATTGTGGAGCAGTTGTGTCCACGGCAGCCGGTGATTCGTGCTGTTGTCCAAACGCGGCTGCCACGTCCCGTAAAAAGTCCACTTGGTGAGAGCTGAGGCCGTGGGTTCCAGTCTTTATTACGGGGGCGTGTTCTCAGCCCCTGGGAAGTCGTCAGTCTCCAGCTCCTGGAGCGGCCAAGTATCTGCGGGGGCCAGGACCAGCATCCGTGCGGGCCTCTGGGCGGAGTCTCAGCAGTTTTGGGCTTCCCGGGGCGGGGCCCTGTATGGAAGCCCCGCCCTGCCGTGCGCCTAGCGGGGCGGGGTCCAGCGCCGTGGTGCGGGACTTCGCGCGCATGCGCCGGGTGCCCCAGGCCGGGCGGTGCTCAGAGGAAAGGATTGGTGCCAGCTTGTGCGGCGGGGTGGAGCGGCCCAGCAGAGCCTGACGTGGGCAGTAGCGGCGGCGGCAGGCTCGCGGGCGGCGGCGTGAAGGCACCCGCCCGCGGGAAGACGCTGACCGAGGCGGGGAGGGTCATGCTGGCCGGCACGCTGCTGAGTGGGAGGGGCAGGGAGGCGCTGTAGGTCATGGAGCCCAAGGGCGCACCGATTGGCCCGCCAACCGCCAGGCCCAGCGCCGGCGACCCGGTGCGCATTTGGTTCAGGGTCGGCCTCCCCTGCTCGCCCGCACCGAACGGGTTGGTGGGGGATGGTACGCTGAGATCTGCAGAACAAGAATGGGTGGGGGGTTTGAAGCGGGCCGGGGACAGAGCCCTAAAATGGGAGGGAAACAAGATCTGCGGTCTTAGAAATAGGGAAGAAGAGTAAGACTCTAGGTCAAGGGCTGGGCTCTGAAAGGAGGGACAGAGATATAGAGATGACAGACAGAGATGGAGAGCAGGGAGCCCCCAGTGTTGAGGCCTGGCAGGGACGAGGAGGTGTCCTACCTGTCAGGAAGGGGTTCCGAGTCTTTGCAGCCTGGGGCGTCTTGACTAAGGAGTCAAGGTTGACCAAGGAGGAGGCTGAGGGGCCCAGGAAAGACTCAGGAGTGCCAGCTCGGGCCTCCTTGCTGGGCTGGGTTAGTGCTTCCCCCACGACACCCAAGTCAAAGACATCTGGCTCCTTGGTGCCATTTTGCTTGGAACTGGGGATGGGGTCTCCAAACAGGTCCAGCTCTGGAATAGAAATGACAGAGCGCATGAGTAGGGAGACAGGTCGCTCTGTGGGAGGAAGAGGACAGCGGCCAGCTCTGTGTGGGCCTCTTATTCTCATCCCCTGCCTCTGCTTACCCACAGGACTGCTGGATTTCCCAGAGGGCAGGGCCTGGGCACCCTCCAGCCCCTCCTTGGTCTCTGTGGATACTGGAGGTTTGGCAAATGGATCAAAAGTTGAGGTACCACCTGGAGCTAACCAAGGAAGAAAAAGGAGATGAGATGGGTTGGCAGGCACTGGACCGACCCCTTTCCAGGCAAGCAGCCCTCCTAACAGACAGAATCTGTTGTCTCTTGGCCCTAGAGAGAGGGGTACCCAGAAGTCCTCCAGCCCCTCACTCACACCCTCTGGCCCTTCACTTACCAGGTGTGTTGGAGGTCTCCACCAAGGTCCCCCAAGGGTCAGTCTCAGTATTCGGGACTTTGTGGTGGGGGGAGTTCTGTGCCCAGGGGTCTGTGGTGGTGTGTCTGGCTGGCAGCACTGGGGTCCGGCCCCAGGGCTCAGAGGAGGAGAGTGTAGGGGGCAGGTCCCACGGCTGGCTTCGGGACAGGATGCTTCCTGAGGGGACTGGAGACCAGGGGTCTGCAGAAGGCCCCCAGGAGGAGCCAGCGGGCTCTATGTTGGGCCTGAGACCTGAAATGG